TTGGCGGTTAGAAATCACAAAGGACCGTGGATCAGTGACCCCCTGCGGGGATTTCTGGCCTCATTTCTGACCCATGTCCGTTTATTCTGAGCAACTCACCGGAGGGAATCCCTTACAGCATCAGGGTGGCTCAGTGCTCTCACGGGAACAGATGCCAGCTTGCGGGACAGGCGCCCAGCGCGCCGTCCGTGCGGGGCTGAGGTGTGAATCCATCCTTAGGGCTGTCGGGAGCTGCAGGGCTGCCCGAGGCTCCCCTTTGAACCGCAGGCACAGGCTCTGCTCGTGGCAGAAGCAGGCTAGGACACCTGCTGGCATCCAGCTTTCCAAGCAAGCGTTTTAAAAGGCAAAGACTCGGGATAAAAAAAGAACTGCTGTGTGGTGGTATTCTCAGGAGGCTTTGCAAATTCCTCCACCTTGGAGCTGTGTGTCTTTCTTCTCTCTCTGGATTCCCCTAAGCAGCTGGTTGTGAGCTTTCACAGGCATGTAATGCCTTGGCCCCAAGGGGGTTTTTGAGATACACTTCCCTTTGCTTGGAAAGGGTAAATAGTTCTGCAGAACAAGAGCCCAGTATAGCTGTGAATCTAGAAGCAGTGCCCTGGGTGTCTGGGCTGGTGACTGAAACTAGGACGATGTGGTGCTGGAGTCAAACAAGCAAGAGGCAGCTGCATCAGGGATGCTGTAGGAATGCAAGGGTGAAAGGAGAGTTGTGGAATGGGATGGCTTGACTAGGTGGTGGAGACCCTCAGGCGGTTGCAGCCCCTCGGGCTCTGGGCTGTTTGTTCATGGCGAGGTCGGCATGCCTGGTTTGGTCGCTGTGTGGCAGACCCTGGCTTCCAAGACTCTTGGCTGGAAAGGGCCACCATGATAATGCGTGGACACCCAACTGAGAAATTGTCACCTTTAACTTTTCTATGGGATGGTGTTTGGCAAAGAAGGATGCACAAAGAGATCCTCAGTGGCTGAATTAACTTATAATGCAGATGTAGGTTAAATGGCCATTGTGAACGTGGATGCACCAGTAGTGCTTAACATACCCTCATGCACAGAACAGGGCATTGAGTCCTTCAGATCAGGCTCCACGTGGACGTACGAGTCCTCCCATGCCATCATGTTCAGGGACACTTTCCAGAGAGTGTGGACTCAGGTGCCCTAAAGAGCTGGAGATGATTAAATACAGTACAGAGGCTACCAGCGTAGGCAGCCTGGTCATAAAGAGATGAAAACCCGAGAACGTTCATAGCCACGCATCTTCCAGCCACCCAGTACTTCTGTCCTTAGTGGCCGATTCTGAGGTGTACAGGCACACAGTGAGCTGGAATGGAGAGTTTGGCATTTTTCCCTTATTATCCAATTCCAAAGAAAAGTAAACCTACTTTTGAGTCCACTCAGAGGAATACCCACAGGCAGACAACCCTGCCCCTGAAAATAACTACGGGGAATGTTTCCCATCTCTCACATTTCAGAGCCAGTTCCTACAGCATACTGCTGTGCATTAATGCCTCCAGCCTGTCTGGGCAATCAAGCACCAGCATTATTCCTATTTTACATGGACTACGATTCTGTGATTTTCATGGGCTCGTACAGGCCTGTGGCAGTATCGGGGGTGAATCTGGAAGTCCATAAGGAACAGCAGAAGCTTCAGGCCAGCTTGTTTCTCTTCCTAGACCACCCTGTTCTGGTCTCTCTCACTGTCACATTCAAAGCCTGGATCCAATTGTTTCTCCACACTCCTAAGGGTTTCCTTAGCATCACCAAAGCTGATTTCCAACACAATATCCATTTCCTAGAGAGAATGATCAAACAACCTCCATGCTTCTAGTTATCTCTAACCCATGACTAGAAAAAGCAGAGTTGTAAGGGGAGCTGCTCCTAAGGCTTGCCAGCACCAGCCAGTGGGTAGAGAAGGTTCAGCTTTTCGTAGACTTTGTCCCCAGCTCCTAATGGCTGCAGTTACAGAGGTCAAGAGATCGCTGCAGGACTTGGCTGGCACCTGCAGAACAAGCAGGAAGAACAGCAGTTGGACTGCAAGCCACCTATTCCTCCATTTCCAAACTCTCCATCTCTTTGAGCCTGCAGGGATCTGTAGCTCACACCACCCGTTTCTGGTTTGCACAGCAAGTTCCCAAACATTTCCTTCTCTGTGTAGCCCCGGGGAATGTCCGTGCTCTTTGCACGGCTCCTCCACAACAGCTTTCATGCAGGCATGTTGCTGGTCACAAGTCTCTGCCTTGGGAAGTCCCCGGCGAGCACTGAAATGCCATCTTTTGTTGATATTTGCAGTGATGTAATAAGCCAAACATATCCCTGTTGGAGCGTCATCAAGTTTGCTGGAATTACCGTTTCCATAAAGTGTAATTAATCTGTGGTGCTCATTGCCATGAGATGGCACCGGAACAAAGAGCTCAGAAGGCATTTCAGTAGATATCAGGTAGTTATCTCTGTAGCAAAACAATCCTGAGTATGATTAAGAGAATATTACGTTTTAAGGATTATAAAACCCTCCTGGTTCAGGGTAATTACTAACTGATGAAAAAACATCCCACTACAGTTACAAGTTTTCTTCTACCTCTGAGGTCAAGGATGCCAGCTGCTGCCAGGGACTCAGCACTAAATGATAAGAGTCTTGTTTCTCAGTGTGCTCGGGGAGGAGCGGGTTCCTGTTCTGACTGGCAATGCAAACAGCCTGCTGTTTACCCGGAGTCAAGAGACACAAGAACAGCCTTCTCTCTGCTGCCATCACCTTGCTTGAAACCAGAAAGGATTTCCTCTCCGGATCAAAAGCAACACCGTAACAGCTGTTCTGTAGAATAATGCTGAATTCTGCCAAAAGAGCATTCTGGGTTTGTTTGGAACATATATTCGTTTTGAAGCAATGCCAAGAGCATCGAGTTTGGTTTGTGTGTTTGTTCCTTTTGGGTAACAGCTGATAAGCATGGAGAGAATCTGGACTCCAAACATGTTGATGCTCTTGTAATGAATTCCTGAGGGGGTATGGATGTTCAGCAATACAAGGAACATTTCCACAGGGGCTCCAAAAATGATCCATGGCACCTTGATGGGTTATAGGACTAGATTAGGAAATATAAAGTGTTAGCAAGTTACTTCAGCCCATCCTTAGTCACACTGCATGGATTAATCCACCTCACCAGCACCAAATCCCCAAACTCCCGGTGTGGGATATTGCCTGGCCCTTGCACAGAAGGGCTCTCTGAGCTCTGCCCGTCGTCCCAGGAGCAGCAGGGCTGGATGAGCCAGAAAAAGACGAGCCTTTGAGGGTGAAACAAGGCACCCAGCTTCAGATTTGCAGACTTTAGATCCTTAAGCAAGTGCTGTGGGGAGAAACATCTAGCTAGAACCAGGGATGCAGGGATGGAAAGCCAATATCACTTTGTCTCCAAAATCAGCTATTATTTTGAGAAAACGGAGGTTTCCCCCCACAGCCCACCAGGAAAAGGGCTGCTCAGTGATAACTTCTACTTCGGAGCATCATTGCTCCAACTTGCTTTAAGCCTCTCTTGGCAAAGGGCCACGTATTTTGAGATATTTTGCAACACATCTGAAGTGCTGGAGGTTTAACTGTTTGGGCTGCATAACACAAAAGCCAGAGCGAGGCAGGAAGGCAAAGGAGGAAAATAAAGACTTGTGGATTTCCAAAGCTGACTTTCTTCCTTCCTGCTTTTGTTTTCCTGCTTGGTGCCCCCAAAGGGCGATGCATATTCCCAGAGTTGTGGGAATACTGTTTCTTTTCTAGTCCGGTGTTTCCAGTAAGCACCTCACTGTAAGTGGGGTAAACACCAGAAGAAGTATATTGTTAAATCTCTGTGTCTTTGTTTGGCCGCTGTCATGATCATAATTAGTATTTTCCACTTCTGTAGGCCTGTCATCTGCAGGTCTGAAAGTGCTTTACAAATATTTAAAGCATCTAGCAAGGGGAGTGAGTATTAATAGCTCTGTTTAACAGATGGGCAAACTGACACACAGAAGCAGCAAGTGCCCTGTCCTTGAAGCAGGGCCAGAGCCAGCAAGTAGTCAACTCCCACAACTAAGGAGTTTTAAAAGTGGGTCAAAACAATAAGGAGAAAGGCTGTAGATCTGTCCCAGCTTGGAAAATTATGGGGAATAGCTCCAGTCGGAGTGGTCCTCAACCCAGATGGGCCAAACAGATGAATTGCTGGATGAGCTACTGCTGACATGGTTAAATGCTTCATCTCTTGCTTTCTGCTCTGCTAATATTTGTCCCTGGGACAAAGTGAAAAAAACAGTCCATGATGTTCCAAAAAGTCTGAAAGCTGAAACAGCTGCTAAAATAAGCAAGTGTCTCGTTGGCTGGGCTCTGCAGGTCAGGAGATTGCAATGCACCCACAGATGTTAGAGCAACAGAGGAAATGTCTTTGAGTGGGGCTTGGGGACAGTGGGAGAAAGCACAGCTGTGCACAAAAGGCAAAGAAACCCAAGGGGCAGAAGACAGACCAAGCAAGTCTACTAAAAGTCCCAGATCAAACATCCCCTTTTGCCTCAGAAAAGCTGACCTGGGAGTTTCACTTCTTTAAAGGGCAGTGGAGCTGCAAGCCAGTACTTGTATGCAGGCAGCTGCTGGGTCCCCTCGTGGTGCAGCTCAGGAGACACAAGATGCTTCGGTTCTCCCCAGCACACCCACGTGAACTGAGCAAAGGGAGAAGCAAAACCAAGAGAACTTCTCTGAAGCCAGGTTGGACTTCCCTTGCTCTTAGACACAACAGGCCAAATCTCTATTAGCACAAACTCTCTGGAGAAGGTGCTCTATGAACACCACCATCCCGCAGCCCTTCGCTTGGTTGTCCCCGTGCTCGCCAGGCTGGACTTTGGCTGATCCTGCTGGGCAGACCCCTGCCAGACCCTGCATCTCCTTTGCTCTCCTAGTTGCAGATGGTGGAGAAAGCAGCTGGGCTTTATGTGTTTCCCCAAAAAAGCACAGATAACATTTTCTTACACTTATTTTCTTTTCCTTCCCCAGAAGTCACTGCCCTGCTGTGTATGAAGCTTGTTTGAAGTCATGTCCAGAAGGAAAGTCAACTAAATCAGGTAGGGATTCGCACTATGGACCAATACAATTTTTATTTACAGGGAGATATTACACAAACAAGAATGGGTGTAATTCCTTATTCAGAGAGTCATTTGACTTCTCTCTGTATTCCCAGTGACTAGATGCTAGAAAGCTGATAAGAGCAAAAATATATCAATAATTCTGCCATAATGACTTTCCTACTGCATTTTCCATACTTCACAGCCATGTACTTGTTCCAAGCTGTGTTTCAACGCTTACTTTAAGAGCAGCCTCTGGTACCAGCCACGTATGGCCTCTCCCCTGCCAGCCACAGAGATGTCGTGTGCGAATCCGGCTCCTGGGCTGCTCCCACACTTTGCACGGGAATGTGGTTTGCCTGTGCATACTCATGTAAGTGAGTTTTGCTCTGTGTGTAGAGACAGCCCAACAAGGTGCAGGGAACCCCCAAAGCGTAACCTTTTGTGGCGCTTCCATAAGTGGCAGATCCACCAACTCAGACTGTCCTTTCTGAGGTTTCACTCTCATGGCTCCTGTGCTCAGAGCACCTCCGTAGTACTCAGATCACCTTGCTGCTTTCTCTTGTTCCTGCACTGAGCATTCCCTTACACAGAGCTGCCACGGTCCTATTGTTTGCAGCTCTGGCAGTACAGGATCCCAGGACTCTTTGGTACATGGAGACATTCCTCCTGCAGGTCTCTCGGAGCAGCATCCAGTATCTTTCCCATGTATGCTAGAGACACCCCATTTCCTTCTATACTCAGGCTGCATTTTAGTGCACCATAAAATAGTTGGCAATGCATTTCATTAGAAGCTTTCCCTTTTCTGAAGCTGTAGTTGCAGTGATTGCTCAGCATCCCTGGTGTAATATGACAGGCACGTCTCGAGCACCACTGCAACTCATTTCTAGATGTCCTATCCCCGGCGATTTCTGCAGACAGATTTACCCTGCCTGCAGAAGGGATCAGAAGCCATTGTCACTTGACACAGATGTACAAAAATTCTCCATCCATCACAGAAACACATGGAGAAAGGGGTGTGCAGGCCAGAAAAGCTCTCTCTGCCCAGGTAGGTGTCCCAGCACGGTAGCACAGCCAAAGGGACTGATTCAGTGGGTAATGGGAGCTGTGGAGTCACCTGAAGGGGCTTAGCTCAGCCAGCTCTCAGTGTCACCCTGTTTTTAACTACTACACTTTCCTTTATTATATGCAAAGCACCAGCAGCACAATCCCAGCCACCCAACCCTTCTCACAGCTCCTAAAGACAGATCTTCCCCTTGCCCCCATTTTCCCAGGCAAGCACTGCCCCTGCCCTGGCCCGAGAGTCTCGCTAGTGGCTTTCCTCTGTGCAGCAGGGCAGCCGGACAGGGCAGCCAGCTCCAGGGAGCAGAGCTAAGCCTGGCTTTGCTAATCAGCCTCATTCCACACTGACACTCTGAAGAGTTGCCCTGGTTGTTTTTAGGCACCGCTGGGAACTGCCAGGGCTCTAGCACCTCAGGAGATTTCACAGCTTCTCTCTCAGCTCCTTAAACCATACCAAGTCAGAAGAACTCCTTGGATGCTGAACGTGAGCTCCTGTGGGACTATGTAAGCCCAAATGAGGAAGAGTGAAGGCAAGTGGCTCCCAGCTTCATGACCCCTGGGCTAAGCACAGACTCCTCAACTAGCAGCAGTCAAAGCTTCGTAGTTAGAGCCTGCACAACACCTCTTCCAAGCTAAGCTCTCCCTCCTAGCCCTGCAAGCACTGCTTTCACACAGTAGTAGATTTCAACTTCTCGGATCACAAAATAAAAATAGACAAAATTTCCTCTTTTTCCTGCTAGGCATAAAAATAAAGACCCATCCTTGCTTACCTCTGTCCTTGTAGAAGGGTCCTCCTTCACACAGAAACAGAACTCCCCCATCAACACCTGCTGCTGCTTCACCTTCCTTTTATATGTGACAAGGATGGCTGTGGTAGAAAATAGCCCCAGCTGCATCTCCTCTGCACTTATTTGATTTTTTGCCCAGGGAAGACTGCGAGGCACTGAGGGGGTTGTGCCCAGGGTGAACATCCCTGGGACAGGAATTCAGGTGAGGTTTGAGTAGGTGATGTTTATTCAGAGGTCAGCACCTTGGTGAGATCAGAAGAACTGTAGGACCACCGGGGAGTTTCCAGCCTTTGATGTGAAATCCAGCAGGGACTTTTCTCCCTGAATGATTTGAGGGAAGGCAGGGAACCCAAGTCTGAAGAGGATCTCTATGGCAAAGGAATCCACCCCGTGGCCCAGGTGTGATCATGTGGCCATACAGGACAAGCAGGGACAATACATGAGTCTTCCTGGAACATGCCTGCGACAGCAGCTGTGGGGCTTCTGCAGCTGAAGAGTTTGAACTGCCTGGTCTGTGGTTCATTTGCTTTGCAAGTGCGGGCATTAGCAGATCTTCCACACAGTCACTGGTTTTGTTCATGTGGAAGTGTGTTGACTGATAAAAGCAGCTAAATAAGAAGTTGGGAGAAAGTAAAAGTAACAGAGATGAGACTTGTAGCCTCATAGCCCTTACAGCTTTGAAAGGGTCTCTGCAGGGGACAGAGAAACCCATGAGCGCTGGCTCACAAGGCGATGGGTGCTCATTGCTGTGCTGGGTGAACATGAGGCCTTTGACTTGCACCTCTCTGCTGGGCAGAAGTCAGAGCCATGGCAACCCAGAGAAGGGGTGAAAAATAGCGGGGGAGAAAGGTGCCAGCCTGACGTGTCCTGGGGCTGGCGGGGCCAAGTGTGCCTCATCCTGCTCTGCCACCCCATCCCTCGGAGGGATGCGCGTCTTTCGGAGGCAGAGCTGGGAAGCAGAGTGTTCTGATTTATTAGCACCTCGAAGCTGTGGGATATGAAAAACAAGCTCGACCTGGGAACAAAACAAAAATACAACTGCTGTCACGGCAACTGTCTCCAGATGCACGAAGAGACCAATTATTTCCATTAATCAACTTAGTAAGAGGCTGCAGAAGAAGCTTAAGCTGCAGCTAAGGCTCAGTGCTGAGGGGAGGAGGAGCAGAGAGCTCCCTCAAACCCCTGTTGCCAAGGCAAACTGTGATTTCTCCTGTGGTGGGGGATTTTTGGAGCAGAAGCTCCGCACCCGTGTCCTGTGGGGACTGGCTGCTCCAGGCACAGAGATGCAGACTGGCGTGGCCAGAGATGGGCACCAAGTTGCCCTCCCGACAGAAGGACCAATGGCTGGATTCGTGCCTCCATCCTGGCATCGCCCACATGTCCTGACATTAACAAGATGCGGATGGGGCTGAGAAATCCCCTTCTGCCTCCCTAACTTCTCCCCAAGCCTTCCCTGGGGACCGCAGCATAAGGACTCGCCCTATGCTAGCGCCGAGGGTCGGCCGTGATTTTGAAATCCGGCTGGAGCTTCTCTTACGTCAGCTGAGAGCCAGGCAGTGGCCGGGAGGATGTTGGGCAGCAGGAGGTACCTTGGGACAGGGACACTGCCGTGGAGGTCCCTGGGGATGTGCTGAAGGCCAGGAGGGAGGGGAGGCAGTTTGGAGAGCTTGGTAGAGCTAAATGCAAGGTTTGTGCTGTCATAGAGGAGTCAGTCTAAGCCTAATTGTAAACCTGGGGCTAAGCAATTGGTTACCAGTTCTACAGGTATTAAGTAATCCTTATACAGTAAAACCAGGCCAAAGCAAAAGAAAGGATCTGTTCATGGACACTGTGGCGCAGTCCCCTTCCTCTACTGCTCTCCTCATATGTGAATTATTATTTTCCATTAAGTTCTAGAGAAGCCTGGAAGCTGTGTTCCTCCAAAACCACTGCAGTGCCTGGAGGCGCTGTGGTGTCTGCGCTGGCTGAATTAATTGTATTTGCCATCAAAGCCAGAGGCTACAGAGTTATTATGAGGAATCCCACAGCAAAAGCCTTCCAAAAATACCAATGTGCCATGCCCAACCTTGACATCTCTTCACCACCGAAGTGTGGTGAGGCTTTTCCATGCTATTCTCGCCTGGAAAGAAGAGATGGACATATGGGCCCTGTTAGGAGATTAGGCTGCTGCCCTGGTCATGCCTTTGTTCCTCATCCAGCCAGGAAACTCGAGGCTCAGCAGTTTGGAGCACATCAGTTCCCGTGAGGGTCTGCCTGGTGCAGACCCTGTCACCAGTCTTACCAACGCATATTGCACATGTAGCCACTACCAGACCAGGCTCCCAACAGGGCATCTGCATCTTCAGCTCGGCTTCTGGTCAAGATCTAGTGCATGGCCATCAGGAGCCATAATGAGGCCTTTAAGGCACAAGGATAGGTCTAAAAATACTCTCTAACCCAAATAACACCGTTACAGAGTCCTCCTGCTTTGATGTGCAACCCCTCATGCATGTTCCCAGACAAGAGCCAATGGAAATTTTGCTGAAATTCCATCTGGAAGTTGTCAGACAGTTGGTGGAAACCCCCTGACCTCAAGTGCTGGCTTCAGCCCTGCGGGATTTTTCTTCCTCCTTGCTGGATGCGACTCTCCCAGCAGGAAGCCTCACAGCAGATCCGCAGGGAGCACAGAGATCCCGGGGCTCCCGTCTCTGTGCTCTACCAGGCCCCCCTCTGCAGTAAACCATCTTACACTGTAAATATTTTAAAAGCCCAGCAGGGCTGTTGACTATGTTTTGCTGTTGTTATGGATCTGGCCCCAGCAGGAGAGGTCTAATAATAGTCACTGTACCCTGGAATGAAAGGGCAAGGGCCACTGCACAATGTGGAGAGCTTGAAGGCGACTGTACAACTTCATGTCTTGGTCCCTGCAGGTTGGCCGTGAAGGGGAGAGAAGTGGGATGCGATCCATAAGCAGAAGAAGGGGCCACATCCCTGTTCCCTGGCAGAACTTTGAAATTTCACCCTAGAAACAGGGCAAGGTTTAGCTTGGCTTCGTGACTTTATGACTCCAGAAGTTTGGGAATCGAAACAGTGAGCTCCTCCGAGAGAGTGTGTCCCCAGCTGGGCTGTGGGACAAGGGACATCTCAACCAGAACTGTTGGTCCCAACTGCTGCTGGGAACAGACTGGTGTGTGGCCACAGCTGGGCAGCAGCACTCCGGGACATGAATCTGGGGGGTCTCCCACCCCTGGGGACCTTGGTGTCCCAGTCCCTGCCCTCAGGGAGTGCCTGCTGCAGCTGCAGAGGTGGCCAAGGTGCAGGGGTCCCCTCCTTGGGTGTCCCAGGGCACAGCACGGCAGGCAGGGTAGCTGCCCCTGCCAGGAACAGAGAGGGGTCTAAAGGAAAGCAGGGCAGGAGCAGGTGGTGATTCAGGCTTAATCAGGCAGGAAAAATCCATTGCTTTGTTTAACTTTGAACCTCGTTCCATAGAGCAGCCCAAGGGTGCTGTGCTGGCCACCCGAAGGGGCAAGGACATCTGAGCAGGGCGCTGAGCTGCCCTGTGCCCAGCAGTGTCACGGATGCCGTGCAGAGATGAGCGATGAACGGGACTTTCTCTGACCCAGAGGCTGTTTGCGCTCACTGCAAAGGCTGAGTGGAGAGGAGAGTACTGAGGCAGACAGGAGGTAAGAGAGGCAGAGCAGAAAGGAGAAGCAAAGCAGGCAGTGAAGGGGAAGCTGGCTGAATTCAGCGCAGCCTGCTGATAGCCAGCATCAGTGTGGAGGCCAAAAATAGCCCTTCCTAGCCATAAAAAGCTTACAGTTCAACCTCGACAAGGGACAGATGCGATATCATATGTTAGGACCTTGTTCCTTGAAACTGGAGTTTGGGGCTGGGTGTGACTGTAGCATCCATCCGATCCCTCGGAGTGAGATCCCAGTCGCTGGCTCGGGTCACAGGGCTTGTGTTTGCTCTGCAGGCACACGGCCTTCTGTCGAGTTTAACCTGCCCGTGGCGTTTCCAGGTCATTTGCCTGCCACTTGGACATTACTTGCAGTAACTGCGTGTAGTCCCTGGGATCTGTGCTGTGGAGAAGCAGGCAAGAGGAGAAATGGGAGTTAAATGCTGGCTTGTCAGTGAGATCAAGAAGGGCACTGAGCTGACCCAAGAGAAATGCCCTGGTTTCTCCTACCAAAAGTCAGAAGAAACATTTAACCCTTTAGTTTCTTAGCACCCACCTTCTAAATGGGTGCAAGGCAATCCTGGTATGAATAGGGCTGATTTAGCTGCAGCCCCTCAGAGCAGAGCCAGCTGCTCCATCAGCTGCCGGATGACTTCCCTGGAAAATGCCAGCGAGCCCAGCCACAGTCTTCGCTCTGGAAGCCGAGCCTACACCAGCAACGCCAAGACTACTGCAGCTCCAGATTATTTAGCTCTCACAAGACACTGTGGAAAAATAAGTCCAGGCCAAATGGCAGGTTTGTCAGAGCCAGATTATTTAGGGGTGCAGAGGAGGAGAGGCAGCTCTGGGGACGCCTCTGTTGTCTGTGGCAGCTCGTAAGGGGCGTCCTGCCTTGTGGCCAGCTGCCCTGGAACAGGCAGCACCGTGTCCCCGTGGTGGAGGGGACACAGCCTCCCTCCAAGCAGCACAGAAAAGCTCTTAGGGAATGTGCAGTGGGCCTTTGTCACCATGCCACGCATCCTCTGCCCTGTCCCCACGGGCTGGCGTGCTGTGCCGAGGGCACAGGGTCCGTTTCGGTGACTTGGAGCAGCAAGGAGGGAAGGGAGGCAGGAAATGACCCTTTGGGGACAAGTTGAATCATCTCTTTGAAACGCCCTGGAAACCCTTGGGTGGTGTGTTTGTGTGCTGCGGGCTTATTCCTGCAACACTTGGCAAGAGCTGGCACATTGTGCCCTCCCGACAGCCCACGGGAGTGAGAAAAACCAAAATTGAGGAGCCGGTGGGTGATGCACCCCCCTGCCACCTCTAAATGACTGTCCACGGTGACGCAGTTCCAGGTTCAGTTATGTGGGCTGGAGGGAACGTTGTTCCTTTCTTGTCCCTGGCAGATGTTATAAAATATTTCCACTGACTAAATACCTGCTCTTTTGCACCCGCCTGGAAATGTGGAAATGCTGTTTGAAAAATCAGTTTTTTCTATCAAAAACTGAGGCCACCACTCCCATCACCTCCTTGGTCCAACAGCTTCCCGGAGGTAGAGGCTGGCGTGTCTCTACCAGCAGAAGGGATCTGCCTGCAAGGCTTTTGAGAGCCACCCACCTTGAAAACCCTGAAAGATCTGCACAAATTTGAAAGCTTTGCTTACAAATCCACCCTGCTCCAGCTCTTTGCATGGAGAGCAGAAGGCAGGATCCCTCCCAGCCACGGAAGATAAATAAATCACATACGCCATCTCCCGGCAGGACCAAACCCGCCTGGAGCGGGACCTGCTTCTGCACACTTGGGTCACTTACCCTATTTTAAAACAAATTCTCGTGTGATGGGGCATTTAGTCCTCTGGCACTGCCCTGCCACAGCTGAACACACCTGCCTTTGGCAGCCACATCAAAGGACACTGGGAAATGTCACATCCCGGGGACCAGCCAGCTCCTGTTTCCCAGTTGGTGGAATCGATCCTGCAAACCAAGAGGTCCAGCCCCTGGTGCAAGGGCAGGATTCCTGAGAGTATCAGCTCTGGATTGGCCTCACCAATGTGGAGATGGACCCAGGCTTGTGTGGATCACTCCTAGGGAAGCCTCCCAAGTCTGTGTGACATTTCTCCAGCAGCTACAGAAGCTTCGATGAGCTGTGAGGAGGACCTGTCTGGGAATGATGGATGCTTGTCCTGTCCCAGGGAAAAGGTGCTATTACATCTTCACCAGCCTCTTCTTCCTACTGCCATAACATCAGGGATTACAGAATGAGAAGTGTGATTCCTGCCTAGGCTGATAGTCTGCCAGCAAATTTCCCTAGTAGGAAGATCAATATTAAGCAGGATTTCTATAGGAGGCTAAGCAAGTTTCTCAGTGGGTCATTAACCCCAAGACACAAAAGCAAGTGAATGACAAGAAGTTGTTTGGGTTTTTTTCGTTACACATGAACATTTCCAACTGAGGCCCCTTCAAGTACTGACAACATCAGCAGGGCTTAAACGCATTTTTTACAGCAAGCAGAATCACAGATAAGAAGACGACGACGAAACTCCGACCTCCATGCAGAAAAACAAAGTGCCAGACTGAGTAAACAGGAGCAGGAACCAAGAGCACCAGGTTTCCAGAGCAGAGGCAGCGTGTGCTCGCTAGCTCTGTGCCCCGGAGCCAGCTGCAATACATCCCCCGAGCTGCCGAGGTCCCTGGACTCTGTGTGCTGTACAAATGCTGGCAAGTTAAAACTGTCAGCTAAAATGAAAAACCAACAACTCAAGGATTCATCAGGCTGACGAAGAGCTGGCTTGCAGCGGAGCTCGCGTGTGACAAGTGGCCGCTCCAAGCTTTTCTTCGTGCTCCGCGCTTGGCACAGACACAAGCCTGGAGTGAAGGGATCCAAACGTCTCACAGAGGGACTGATTTTCACATGTTAAAGTGCTTATCTCAAAGCAGTCCAGCCCGACACTTTTTCAGTAACATCTGACAATCCGTCGAGCCAGCACTGACCTGAAGCCTCATACCTATAAACTACTCCCTTGCTCCCCAAACTTTCCAGCAGGTATCCATCAGGGCCCTGATCATTTCCCATTACAAATTCAGGTTGGATCAGCATCCCAGCAGCAAGCCAAATTTGGCCTCCATTCACAGCTCCTGTGGCATTTTGAAGAGGAAGGAGGGCTTTTTCTGTGATGCTTTTTCCATAGGAAAAAGCTGCTGCAAGCGACCTTGCAGCTCCTAAACTCAACAGGAGAAGCAAACGCCTTCCCAGCCTTGCTTTGCAATGGGAAGGCAGAGCAAGGGCCAGTAAGGCAGCTGGGATGGATCCTTCCTGCCTACCTGCCCCCACCCAAGGCGATGGGTCGCCCAGCACAGTCGGTCACCCCACGCGCTGCCCCACGTGACGGGGTTATATCTAAGATTTCAGTAGCTGCTGTTAGAGTAACTGGAGCAGAGTTCCAGGGACTATTTATTCATGCTGTAATTTAACTCCAAAGAGTAACTTAACCTGGAGGGAGCCACGTCTCAAGGCTTGCTGAGCATCCTTGACCTCACAGCTGTGTTTTCTCCGCAGCGTTTTGCAGGTGTGTGGAGATGCAATGGAGGTAGAGTCCAACACATACACTGACTTTATTGCCTGCGATCGGGCTGGTCGGAGGAACGCTGTCCACGACATCCAACGAGATGCGACCACCATCACCATGCGCAAGCTGACTGAGAACCTCGGTGACCTGGCTGTCGAAGGAGCAGGTGAGCTGCTGCTGACACCAGTAAACCCAGCTCCTGGCACCCGGGCTGGGTGAACAAGGCAAGAAATGGCAGCACAGCTGATCAGCGCTGTCTCTGGGGCATCACGCAGATGCTCAGGAGCAACATCCCGTTCCTCACTGCAGTCAGTGTCTTCACACTTGGCGGATACTCAGCTAGTGGGAAACTCCCCAGGCTGAGGGGCTTTTGCAGGGGACGGGGTGCTCCCGGGGTTCCTGGCACACAAACACTGCATGCTCCAGCCAAGGCCCTGTGCTCAGCTGGTTTGTAGAGGCACTGCTGTTTGAACAACATGTGGAGTGACCAAGAACCTTTCCAGGGCAAATTACACATCAGGCATACCTTAGGCTTTATAAAAATCCAGTGTGGGGCAGGTTGTGGTTTGCTTTGTTGGTTGGTTTTGGGTTCTTTTTAAAAAATAAGCCTTCCAATACTTCCACAGTATTTTAAATAACAGCAGAAATCATTTTTAAACACCACCAGCCATCTCCAAATATTCCCGTGCAGCCCAAACCTGGCAGCAGCATCACCCTGCTCAGTATATGCTGGCCAGCTGACTACAAGTGCGAGTCCTCTGTTCAGAGCACAAGCAAACCAGCCACTCTGATTTCACAACAAAACATACAGCACTGCTGCAGAGGGTAAACTCAGTTTTCCCTTTGCTTTTTTACTTCTCCAGCCTACAACCTGTAACTATAAAAATACCTTAAAACACGTTATCCCAACTGCATCCCCTCTTTCAGTGTGTCCCCATTAGCACGTGCCCATCCATCCATCAGTCACAAGCACAAATTAGAGCTCTTCTAACAGAGAGGAGCTCAGGCTGCTGCCAGGCTGTCAGGCAGACATTCCCAGAGCTCTTGCAAGTTGCCGTGACAGGTTAGATAAGAGGAGCACATCCCTGCCCCGAGGCTCCCTCCCAGCATCACCAGATGTGCTGAGAAGCTTTTGTACTCCAGGAATGTGAAGGGAGAACCCAAGACTCTGAAGCCACAGGAGGGTGGTGATACCTTCAGGTGGCAATCTGAATACAATTAGCTCTAGCACTTACTGACAGTTTATGTCTTCAGCGGTGTAACCTGTGCTTTCTTCCCAATTCTCCCTTCTGCAGAAAGCCAAAGAGATGCCACTTCTTCTGAGAGCGACCCTGGAGCAAGACCAAAGGGGCAAGAAGACAGCCCCTCTCCATAACAACGTGCAGGGGGTGGGATGGGCAGGAGGAGGGCCTTGCTGTGAACATCAGGCAAGAATTTGCTGTTGAGTCAGTGGACAAAACCAAACCTGGAACAGCAAGCTGTCTGTTGAACGCCTCTGCTGCAACCATTTTTATTTAGAGAGCGACATGATGCTGTGCAAGGACTGGCACCTCCAAAAGACTTCTGTTCCCATCCCTAACGATTTAGAGCAACACTGCCATGGTTGTAGTGACATGAGCCATTCTCAAGATGCCTTAGCTGCAATTTTCCCCTAGGGGAAAAAACGATTTCAGTAATAATAGACACATCAGATTTTCCTGTCCAAGGTACCTTCCTCCTTTGCAAATTTAGACTATTATTTATTCTGTTCCACAGATTAGGAATTTAGATTATTGTTTTTTCTAAGCCTCACCCTCATCTGCATCTTAGACCTGACCTGGCCTCTGGAATGTCCATGTGGCCCCTCGTCAGGGTGGGCAGTGGGGAGTCCCCCTGCCTTCAGGTCAAGCACCGCTCACCTGTGCTGCTGCCAGTTAGCATCAGGAAAGGACCAAAGCACAGCTCTGTGTGGATGAGCTCCACGTACAGCCTCAGCAGCACCAGCCACAGGCATCTTTTTCTTTGGGTTTTAGCATTTTAAGATACTGTTAAGCAGAGGGGAGAACTGTTTTGCTGGTTTGACTGTTGAAATTCAGGCTTAACTTTGCAAGCTGTTAGCTGAGATGATCTCTGGTAGGATCTCACACCATTCTCTCTTTTAGGAGACATGTTTTGTGTTAAAGATGGTTTGATAAAACTATATAAGCTGTTGGAATAAATAATAGAGCCTTCAAATACTGAAGGTGTTTTTTTTCTGCCTGGATATTTCTTCTTCCTCTGTTTTGCCTTGTAGCTGGTTGAACTTCGTCCCCTAATAGGGAGATAAGGAGCTGTGAGTCCTTTCCCTTTGGGTCTGAAATCCCATGGGTTTGCAGCGCCCAGGTGGAAGCAGACACAGCTGGGCACAGAAAATGCTAAAAGTCTGTCCCCCCTTTCCCAGGTTTGCTGCCAGGCAGTGCTTTTCCCACCGGTATGTCACCCACCCATGGCAACACTGCTCCCCTCCACGTCACCACCCCAGAAGTCAGGCACAAGGGCTGGCTCAGGACTTGGCAGAGTGGCCTGGCCACCAGCAGAAGAGGGGCCGGTGGGAAAAGGCATCTTCCCTCAGCAGCACAGGGCTGCGAGGACGTGGCTGGTGTTTTGCCCAGCCCGGGCAGAGCCGATGCTGACGGAGCTGTGGGAGGAAGCTACAGCCTGGCGGGGATCAATGGCCAGCACAGGGAGGAGGCAGAGCTGGCCTCAGAAGTACTCTCCACTGGTGACACAAGGACAAGCATCACCCTGGCAGCCTAGGGAAGGACTGAATGTTACGAGTTTGAGACTTACCAGTGAAACCAAGGCCATGAATATGCAGAGAAGTAGCTGCCAGACAGAGGGAGAATTTTCTGTGCACCTCTGAGAAGTGAAGGCCACAGGGCTAGCACAGAGATGTCCATGGCTCCAGCCCCCACAGGAAATGAGGATTCGGCACCTAGGTAGCAGCTGCATCTGCTGCTGTGGCAGCTGCAAACCAGCTCGGCTCCCGGAGCTGCCTGGCTACTATTGCAGCTCTGAGCCCGGATGGTGGCCAAGAGCCTGCTCCCATTTCCCCGCGCTTGAGGACAAACCAGCAGGTAGCTCCTGGGCTTGGCTGACCACACAGTTGGGTCTTTAAGCCCCATTTCCAGCTCTCCTCGCTGCCACCAAACAGGATTTTTGGCTCGTGCTGACACACATAAAGAAAGCTGAAAGGCGGTGCAGAGGGACTGTGCACCACGTGAGACCTCCGACAGTCAAACACGGGCTAATCTTAGGTCTCCCTGGTCAGAAATTATCTGTTCCAGAATTAGATTTAGGCAGACGATGAGGGACCTGTTGGCCAGCTACCCTCAGAGGACAGGTGAGAGGCATCAGGTTCCTCCTGCAAGTGAAAGAGCCAGCTCAGCTGCCCTCGCTGATTACTCTGAAAGACCAAGGGCACTACCTTAATCCAGCCACATCCTGAATTGTGAAGTTGCTGAGCCCACGGCTGCTCCAAGCCCTTCATTTCAGTTGAACACAGAGGCACGCCAGACCTCCCAAAACTCTAACTGAGCACCAGATGATTAGAAAGTCTTTCGGCAAAGGCTGCCCTGCCCAAGCTGACAGTGCAGTCCAGCAGCCAGGCTGCACCACTTGGTATCAACCAACTCTGCAAAACTCAGGAGATGAAAAAAAGGTTGTAAACTATTTTTTATGCACACCAGAAAAAAAGATTACATAGTGATGGCACTGCTTCTAGCGGTGATACGCATCTCTTTGATTACTGAAGGGAAAAGGACACACCAGGTTGGAACAACCTGCGACCATAAATCCAACTTGTCCATCTAGCAAGGGAGCAGAGGTACCCTCCCTCTGGCTGTCAAAGTGCTCCAGCCTGGCAACAGAATGCAGGAATTGGCCTGCCAAAGCCCCCGTCACGCCTTCCAATTAACTTATGCTCAAGCAGGGCTCATACAGACCACAGGTCCTAACGGTCACCCTTGAACAGAAAGGCAAGAGGATTTAACTTTTAATATAAATTTGTTATTTTTATTAAAGAGGATTAACAATCAACTGTCCAGAATCCAAACAAGCAACTCATCTTTAGAAACAATTACTGGAGAAAAATTACCCAAAAAAGCCTGGTTCTTACTGCAATCCCATTCTTGAGGGATGCTTTATCATTTGCTTTATAAAAGTAAGAAATTCACTCTCTCATATCCATCTATCTAGCTATATATATATATGTGTGTGTATATATGCACCATGTACTGTAGAGATAAGTATCTTACCCGAAGACAAATATGGAAGCCCAGAAAGAATGGAAATACTCCCAGCATGCAGTCACTGCTGGCTGAGACTGGACCAGTCTCACCCACTCTGTGGTAATGGTGACCACAACACCCTGTCAAAGGCAACTTTTTGGTACAGTATCTTTGGAGTAAGCATCTTGGCAGACACCTGGGATGCTGAAGCACACCACACACGTAAAAAACCAACGGTCTCTGCTCTGGATGCATGGCTCTATTGCATATTAAGTAAAAATACTGTAACGCACCGAAATCACGCGGTAATTTTGGTAAGTATTTCTGTATAAATTCTCCACCAAACTGAAGATCTGACTTCTAGCCAGTGTTGTGCTTGAGAGAAGCAATTTGCATGGGACCTGGGACAATATGTGACATTGGGCCCTACTTTATTAATTTACTTACTTGTTTTTAATGGCACCTAATGATTATGTCAAGTCAGGAAGAGGGCAGGAGTAAAAGAGGCAATCAATCATGGGTTTTCAAGTCCTAAGCAAAGTTGGAGGAAGAGCAAACTGCAGTTCACAGGAATTCTCCAGGATGAGTACAAAACCAGGAAAAGTCCCAGAAGGCAGGTTTTGGCCCAGAACATAAAAATATGCTCTAGCTTCCTATGCATGTGTGGGCAAGGTCATGGCCAGCTGTGAGCACAGCTGGAGCCCAAGCCCAAGGTGTGCGCTTCTGCAGCAGTGACATTGGGAGGCTCGTACACAGGAGTCCTTGTTCAAGACAGGATGCCAAAAAAGTGATATTTTAAAATGCTCTTCAGAACTGTGCACAGGCAAGTGCACTGGCTTCCAGCTTGTTCCAGTCTTGTTAGTACAAGACTATCCCTGGGTAAATACAGCTGTAGCCAAACCGTTCCTACCCACATGGATGGGATTAGAGCCTCCTCTCCTGAAGTGCCTGTTCACTCTCTGCCAGCACTTTTCCCTAGGAAGGTGAAAATTAACCCAGGCCACAGTCACAGCTGAAGGTGGTTATTTCTGCACTCCAGACAAGGGCAAAGCAGGTCAGTGAGATGGGAAAGATAAAGCAGGGGAGGAGTAGGTGGGAAAAAAGAAAACAGAAGGGGAGGTTCTTCTGTTCTCATCTGCAGTACAGAAAGACTGGCACATGGAGAAGGGAGTCAGGCCAGGAGGCAGTTTCAGTCTGTTTGCACAACAGCAAAACAGGAAGCTGGATATCCATTTGGGAGAGAATTTGGTGGGGTAACGGGTAAATGTATGTGATAACTTGATTCTGTTATGCTATAGCCTGATTCTGCTTAGCACTGGAAGAGTTAACATGGGGCTGCCAGTCCAGGCAGCACAGGAGAGTCAAGCAGGCATGAAGAGGAGCCTCTGCTCCACCTGGCTCGAAGGGATGGGTCACGATGCGTTGGGGACCATCCCGTAGGCTTCATACAGCGTGTTGAGCAGCTCCTGCTTTTCCTTCTCAGGCAAGAAGCTGGACTGAGCTGCATTGATGTTCTAGGGAGGCAGAACACAAGGGAGACATTAAGCCACACGTGGTTGTGCACATCTCAACATCCATCTCTAAGCAGCAGCAGGCGAGGGAGAGTGTAACGCCTCCACTCTGAGGTTCATTTCCACAGCCTCATTTTAAAAGGCAACGCCTCTGGCCCATCACTAGCAACAGCTCCAAGAGGAATGAGGTGGGCACAAAGCAAAGGTCTTGAAATACTTTCAAGTTTCTAGGATAGGCACTTTAGACTCGCTCCTATACTCACAGCTCCCCTTTAGACGAGACCCTCTCCCGGCCCGGCGGGGGTGACAGCCTGGCTGTGCGCTGTAACCTGCCTGCCTGTCTTGTGTGAGGACCTTTATTTATTACAGGGGAATCACCTGGCCTCTGCAAGAGCAGGAGAGGACAGCTGGCAGCAGAACAGCTGTGTGTCCAGGATCCCAGAGCTGCCCATGTTCCCCCTTCCAAGCCCAGAAAGTATTATCTGTAGGAGAAAGCAACTTGCTCCTCCAGCCAGAGCTGAGAGCAGGACTGATGCTCTCTTGTAAATGCCTCCTGCATCTCCCAATCCAAGCAAGTATTTTGGGAGACAAGTAGGTGAAAGCACTGAGCATGGCTCTCAGTGCAAACTCAGAAAGGTTTGCTTGGTAACCAGGTAAGTCAAACAGCCTGTCTTTCTGTCTTGGGTGAGTAATTAAAAAAAATTAAGGATGTAATCAAGACGCATGAACAACTGTGTGTGCCAAAACCAGCTCACTTGCTGCACACTCACGCTATACATGCAAAAACTGCAACCACTTTCATACCTGCTGAATCTTCCTCATTTCTAGGCCAGGCCTTGAAATAACCTACCTGCAATTCCAAATCCAGAGGAAAAAAACCCAAAAAAACCAAGAAGCACCCTCCTGCTAAGACCTGCTGTAAGATGCCAGTAGACAATTTCCACCCTGACATGTTCCCCACGAGGCCCAAAGCAGTCAGCCCAAGTGCCGCAGCCCCTGCAGAGCCCACCCTGTGCCCGTACTCCCCTGCACCCTGCACCCCTCCTGGCAGCCCCCTCCAGCCAGCTCAGCAGCCACCCTCAGCCTCACGGTTACAAGGCCAGTGCAGGATTTTCTGATCTCTCTTGAGAACTCTTCAGTTCATAAAGAAAAAGAGCTGTTGTTCTGGGCTGCACCAGGACATCAGCAGAGAATCCAGCCGAGGCCAACTTACCACTCGCTTGAACTCCTCTTCAGTGAAGCCCATGTAGTCCTTCACTATGCTGTAATCCTTGTCAATACTGGAGTTAAAGATGAGGGGGTCATCCGTGTTTATGGAATAGTTAGCTTGATCCTTCTTGAATCTGTAAGGAAATTGGGTGGAACTGGTGGGTAAAACCCTCGATGCAGCACTGCTCACCCTCTTCTTGGGGTAAAATGCACTAAAAGCAAAGACCACACAGCTGCCCCTGCAGC